GTGCTTGCTCTTCTGTGCTTGGTCTATTCCGCGTGACACAGTATCCTCTAGGTCCATCCTTTCGGTCACAAATGGCATGGTTTCCTCCTTTAAAGGCTGGGTTTAGTCTAGTGTATGTGTGCGCTCACTTGTTAATGGATACAGTTGCTTCTGTACCTTTGGTTCTTGTGGACAGTGCTACAGTGGACATGGGGGTGTGAATGAATGTCTTTTCAATGGACTGATTTCCATTCCTTAACAAGGAAATGGGAGTTGCTGGGTTGCTCAGTGTTGCTTTCCATACTAGCTGTACTAATTCACATTCACACCGTAGGAGTGGGCAAAGGTTCCTTTTACTCCAGCCTCACTAACAGTTGTGACAAAGAAAGGGGCCCCTCAGCTTTACCAAGCATCTTGTCATTTGTTTGGCACGTTCCTGGCTGGAGGGTAACCTGGAGCCTTGCATGTGCCATCTCAGTCGGGCACAGGGCAAGAAGAGTCAAGAGTCAGGGAACCCTCCTCCCAACTTCCACTTCCATTTTTTCAGCATAAGGGAAAAGCCATCGTCAACATCTGAAGTAATACAAAAGGAGAATGGTGGCAATGGAGGCTTCCCCAGCATGACCTTGACCATCACAGCTCCTTTAGAACAAAGACCCGCACACCTACGACAGGGCCCAAACCACGTCATCCTTGTCTTGATCATCATTCTAGAGCAAGCACACCTTTCCCCCAGCTCGGCTCCTGTGTACTGGCGGCTGAGCTGAAAGCATTGCTCATGAGACAACCATTCACTGTTTCCCCGCACCACAAAATCCACCTGGCCTGCCAAACATCGGCTTGGAGGCCTAGCGTGTAAAGGAGTCAGGAGCAGGGCAGAGGGGGCCTGCCATTGGCGCTGGCTGCCTGGGTGGGCCCTGTTCTCTGCCCGTGTGGGCGGGATACAGCCCTGTTCTCTGCCTGTGTGGACGGGATACAGCCCTGTTCTCTGCCTGTGTGGACGGGATACAGCCCTGTTCTCTGCCTGTGTGGACGGGATACAGCCCTGTCCTCTGCCTGCGTGGGCGGAATACAGCCCAGTTCTCTGCCTGCGTGGGCGGAATACAGCCCAGTTCTCTGCCTGCGTGGACAGGATACAGCCCAGTTCTCTGCCTGCGTGGGCGGAATACAGCCCTGTTCTCTGCCCGCCTGTGTGAGCGGGATACAGCCCTGTTCTCTGCCTGTGTCAAGCTGTGCGTCCTGTTCACTCACCGTCTTTGAACTAACAGGACCGCAGCCATTAGTGTGTGGGTGTGTGGGATGCTTCCCCAGAGGGACTTCCTGACACCTCTTTACAGTCCTGGGTAAATGAGGTCTTTCTGTTAAAGGGAAGGCCACGGCTAATTTTCCGTAAAAGCGGTAAAGTTGAGAAGACCGTCCCGAAGAGAGAAAAATAACAAAGCCTGGGGGCAGGGCCTGTATTCTTTCTTACAGTATTTATTATCCCCACCCCCGGCCCGGCTGTCTTGTCATACCCAGTCATGAAGGAACTAGTCACTTAAGCAAGTTAACAGTACTTCAGATCTCAAGAACCTCAATTTTCATTCTTATCAGTGTCTTTTTAAATGAATAATACAGTGACCTTCAGCTTTGTCCTCCATTATGGGAGGCTGATTCACAGAGACTGCTATGCTTTCTTAAATTAAGGCAGCTGCTGTCTGTATTCCGTTCAGCTCTAACATTAGTGTTGTCCCAAGTGTGACATTTATGCTCTTTCGCTTCTTCCTTATAAATAAATATCAAAGGAGGAAGACCAGCGTGAACTCCACAAGGAATAATAAACTACAATAATACGCCATTGATTTTTGTGCATGATGTCTAAGTGTGTTTTTATGATTGTGTATGTTTATAGCTTTTTCACACAAGTGACATGAATTCTGGGCAATTAAAAAGGACATGAATTTCAAGGCATTTAGGAAGAAAATCTGCTCTTAACGCTGTGCATTTTAGCAAGTTGGAACTCCTGATGTAAAGTGTAGGTTTCAGATCTCTGCCTTAAGAAAGGAGAGTTACTGCTATTTCATATTGTTTTGCAATATGACTACCCTGAGACTACATTTGGGGACTTTATTTTGGCTGCTAACATGGATGTAACAATTTAATCAGAAGAAGATAAAGAGTCGTTTACCCATTGTGTATCTTCCTGGGAGTTCCCTCCCAACCACCAAGCTTCAGCTTGAGTCCTGTGAGGTGGAGAGAGGTAGGCACGCCCCCCTCCTCACCCCTAGAAGTCGGGGGAGGACAGAGAGGGATGCCTGTGAGCCCTGCAGAGTTGCCAAGGACTGTGCAGAGGGGAGTCCCATGCCAGCACCCTTCCAAAGATGGCTTCCGGACAGTCATTGTTCTTAGGAGTTCGATGAGGTCATAGACAGACCCTGGGCACTGGGCACTCTCTGTCCTTCTTTCTGCCCTTCTTAGAGTGCCTGTGTTGTTCCCTTCAGCTCTCTGGTGTGTGGTTTCAATTGTTCAGTAATACATAAATACCAACCCTTTGAAAAAGAGCTGAAACATTACAGAGAACTTAGTCGCTTAGGCTCCTCCCCAAGACAAATTCCTATTCCTCTCCTGTCTCCACTATCCTTCCCCCTTTCAGTGGTCAGTGGCTGCGTCCTCAGACACCTTTCATACATTCAGGCACAGTGTGAAAATCAATGGCAACCAGATAGAACTGTTCTTAAGAGGTTCTCGCCTCTTTATCTGAGCACTCTGGGTCTTTCTGCACCCGACTTCCTTCATTCCTCCCATGAGAGTCTGCCCAGATCACTTCATTGTGATCATTCTTAGGATGTGCCTTGCTGTAGTGTGCTTAGCTTTTCTCCCACTCCAGGGCATTTGCTCTCCCAGTTTTCGGCTCTTGGGAACCCCTGAAGTCTGTGACTTCCTTGGGCACGTGAGTGTTTCTCTAGGTGTGTACTCACCAGTGGAATTGCTGATTGTATAATAAGCATGTCTTACCTAACACAAGAAAGTGACAGCTATGTTAAACTTCTCTCCAAAAGGGAGGTTTCCATCTATTTCCCCACCTGGTTCCCTGCATCCTCACCAACTCTTAATGTTACTAGACGCTAAAATGTCGATTCCTTTATTCGGTGCCAGACAGCATCTCATTGCTTTAGTATACATTTCTTTTATTACTAAGGAGATTGAACCACTTTTCATGTTTATTGGCTGCTGGTGTTTCCTTCCTATGCTGTAGCTGTTCAAACACTTTGCCCATTTTTCTATTCGGCTGTTTGCCCTATTGATCTACAGAAGTTATGCATTTGTAGTGGGGGGGGGAATACCTGTGAGTGTGGTGTGGGGGTATTGGTATTTGTGGTGTGTGTACACTACATTGTAACCCCATGTCTGCGGGCATGTTCTAACCTCCCAGATCATGTATTGGGTTTTAAATTCATTTATTGTATCCTTTGGCTCTGTTGTGTTTGACCTAGGTTTACTCTTCCCATTCTTATTCCTTTACTCACATTGCCTTGTGAACCCATATGGCACAGTGATCATCTCATGAGTAGCATACATGGGTGATGTTTCCAAATGATTGTGCTCATTTGAAGTTTAGAACTGGGACTGTGCAGTGACTGGGTGCTGGGAGCATCTCTCTCGTGCACACATGGAATGTATCTGTCACCAACACCCATTTCCTCAGCCGAGTGGCAGAACAGCCTGGGCATTGTGACAGATGATACTAATAGAAACAACCGGAAGGGAGAATGTTCCCTTTTCTCATTGGTTCAGAGGATTCAACCCATAGTCCTTGGCTTCTTTGGTTCTGGGCCTGGGTAAGGCAGAGCATGTAGAGGAAGACAGCCCCAGAGTGAGGAAGGCATAAACCAGGTGCCTGCAAAAGGTCACCCCAGAGTGAGGAAGGCTTAGACCAGGTACCTGCAAAGGGCTACCCGCAGTGGCCTACTTCCTTCAGTTAGGCCCTCACCTCGTAACATTTCCAGAATTTTCTCAAACACCACCAGCACTGGAGACCAGGTGTTCAGCACCTAAGTCTGAAGAGGACATTTCATATTCAAGCCAAAAGAAGTGTCAAGCTCCTCTCTCCAGTGTGTCTCGGGTGCAGGCTGGATGTCTGTATGTGGAAAGGGTGTATGGAAATGATGCATGCATTCATTATACACTGGAGGTGTGCGTGTATGTGTGTGTCTTTGGAAAGGAAAAACCTAGCTCAGCAATTTCCCTACTGTCTACTTTTCAGAAATTGCTCCACACTCCCAGGGCTGCATTCCAGGTTTTATTGTACACTTTAAATTGGGATATATCTCAGCAGTTGCATTTAATTGGGTGATTATTAAAAACCATGAGCAAGTTCAGTCTCTCACCCAGAAAAGCTCTGGTGTCCAGCTTGAGTGAGACCACACTTGCCTCACTTTCACTGTCCTGCTGGGAGCTGCATGGTGGGGGTGCACAGACAGAGCTGTGGGTGGACATATCCCCACATGACAGGGCTTGGAAACCACCTTAGCAAGGGCTGCCGTAATGACCCCCCACCCCCGCTCGCGAGCCGCCAGGGTTTGCTCCAGTATCCTTAAATGACCTACTTCTAATCATCAATTCACTTAAAGGAGAAGTTTAGCCTTGTCACTGCCACAACGGAAAGCAGTTTCACAGTGGCACAGAAGTGCACACAATTACACAAGTGTGGGATAATCTGCCCTAACCTGAGGTCTGAGCAAGGGACCTTGTTTCAAAGGGATACTGAGTAACAAAAGGTGTGATTATGTAACAGGCCCCAGAAGGGTTCAGAAGGGAACTGAAAGAGCAGTCAGTCACTTGCTTCCTGATAGGCCCAGCTGCATCGTCTAAAGCCAGTGTGGGAATCCACTCTCCCACACTTGGGAGCACGTGGCAAGGACAGTAGATGGGATGTCTGGGGACTCAAGAATCCGTGGATTAGGAGTGAGTGCATGGGCATTCTAATGCCACTGACTGTTTGACCGGCAGTTCTAACATCAAGCTGTATCTTCCCTCCTCAGCTGTGCATCCCTCCTCCTGCAGCGAGGAAAGAAGAATAGCTTTAGCTGGTGTTTCCAGAGGCTCCAGTCCAGGGTCAGCCGGCTGCACTGCCTTCTCCCCTGTGGTGAGCTGAGCATCCGTAGCGGCTCACGTCGGACAGCCCATTGACTCGTCTCATGGCGTCAGGAGGGTGGTGGAATCCATGCATGTGTGGGTCATAGCTGGCCACAGGCACTAATGTGTGATTTGGGATGCCTGGACATGTGAAAAGTGCAGCATCCATTCAGTGTGCTTTGGGCTCTCATGGCAGCATGTTCCCATTGTATCTTTAAAGAATTTTGAAGTTACTTTCAACAGGTAATGTAAGTAGGATTTTTAGTTATTCACTTATGCCCAGGCCCATCTTCTTGTTCTCTGGTCACACTCCCAAAGACAGGCAGTTTTGTTTGTTTGTTTTTTAATTCAATTCTTTATTGTTTCTTTGGGAATTTCACATCATGCACCCCAATTCTGCTCACCTCCCAGTCCCCCCACCCCTGCAACAGTCCCCTCCAAACAAAAATATTTTTTAAAAATCAAAACAAAACAAGCAAACAAACACAAAGTGAAAAACAAGAGAACAAAAACAAAACAACAAAAACCCTCTTTGCTCCTCCATCTTTCCCACCTCTCCAACACCTCTTCATTCGTCCTGATGGCATTGGAAGCCACAGTGTGTCGCAGAGTAGATAGACCCTTTTGTCCAATCAGCTTTACTGGCAAATCATTTCAGTGAGTCACTGGTCTGGTTCAAGGCCTCTGGTTTCTGGTACACCATCATCACTGGATCCTCACCAAAACTCCTCTCGGATATCTCGCTCTGCCCCAGGTCATGGAGATCCTGCAGTTATGGTTCCACAGGGCCAGTCCCTTCACGAGCTCCAGCAGGTCCTAGATGTTAGGGTGAGCCAACCCCAGGACTAGCTGTGGGCCTGGGTGGTAGCTGAGTTGGTCAGTCCAGGCCACTGGGGCTGCCCCTTATTCAGACGAGGGGCAGAACCAGCTCCCCAGTGCCCATGCAAAAGCAGGCAGTTTTAACCCATTCTGTGTGTAGACCTTCTGGTTTTTAGCTGTACATATCTAAATAAAATGCTTGTGTTTTTATTTGGTAGTTTTCTACCCTTAAACGATGAGCAACCTTTTCCCGTTTCAGATGGGGACTTACACAGTGCCATCACCCTTCCATTCTCTCTCCCCTGTTTTTCTATGGAGACATCTGATGCCACTGCAGTCCTCAGCCCTTTGTCAGTGATCTGTTTGTTCCGGGGGACTTTGGGGACCCTCTGTGTATTTCTATGGCTCAGAAATTTCACACTGACATGTAACATGTCATACCTAACTTTTTTAGGTGTTTTAAAAAATAACCTCTTTCAATAAGTTCTTGCTACTTGGTATCTTTTGGTGTACAAGAAGCAGGGGAAAGACCCCACTGTCTTCTCATGGTGCTTTATCTGCCTGGAAATGTACATTTTTTTAACCTTAAAGATTGACTCTCTCACTGCTTTTAGGCAAATTGGTGATGGCATACCTTGATGGAACTTGCTTCCTATCTGTTGTGCTTTATGAATCTGTGGTTTTATTATTTGGTCACAATTGGAGTTTGGGGCCATTATTTTTAACCCCGTGCTGTGCTCTGGTGTATAAAATCCCCCTCCCTTTTCTTTGTCTCTGGTTGTTAATGCTTTCTCTAACCAGCCTGCGAGTTCACTGGTGCTTCCTTCTGTCCTCCAGTGTGCTCTTTTTTAACATTAGATGTTATGGTCTTCATCTCCAGTGATTCAGTTTGGGTCTTTTGAAGTGTGTGTGTGCCTGTGTGAGTGTGCGTGTGCATGTGTGTTCTTGACATCTGAGCAAGTAGATGCTGTTAAAGCCTTTCGAGTGCTCGCTGTGGTGATGTGGGGTCCATTTGATTCCCTCCTCCTGTCAGCCCTCCCTTCTCCTTTCTCACTTTGTGAGGTAGTGTTTCATTGGGTACTGCAGACTGTTGTAGACTGTTGTCCGTGTTTGGTTTGGTTTTTTAAGACACCACTGTTTGTGGAAGCACATTGTTCATGCTTAGTTCACCACTGTAATTATTTATCGAAACTCATATTCTCTAAGTGGACTTCTCGAGGAATAGAAACCACAACTCACTGATTTTGAGGTCGCTGGAGTGCTAGATCAGAGCTCAGTAGATGTTTGTTGAGTGAATAAGTGAGTGGCTGCTGCCTTATTGGTAATCGAGACTACAGGTAAATGTGTGATTCTTGAAACATTTACAGGGAAGGGCAGTTTACCCTTGTTTCAGGACATCTTTCTTTCAGCCTGCAGCTCTTTGGGAGCTGTTAACATTAGCGCCTGCCCAGCCTTTGTGGCAGGGAGCACTTCACAAGAATGCTCTCACGCCTTCTTCTGTTAGGATCAGTCTACAGGTCACTTGGGGGAATTCATTCTTGGTGATTTGTCCTAGTTGCTTTCTAATCTGATCTCTGTGTGAAAATTATTGAGGAATTATGGAAAAAATGTCTTTCCAGCCATCTAATTGTTTGTTTTATTTTTGTGCAGTTTAACTCTCTAAAGGACCCTTAAGGTCCAATGTATAATTATAAAGACAATGAGTACATTCTAAAGTTGGGTTTCTTCACTATTTTTCCTTTCCCAAAGCATGTAGAATTGTAACTTATGTTGACTTAATCTTTCAAAGATTCAGAAGCTGAGAAATTAGAAAGCCAAAATATGTCCCACCCCTGGCTTGGATAGGCAATATCACGGTGAATTAGGATACCCTGGAGCCTGACTGCTGAGAGAGCAGCCACGCTCCTGCTGGCTGTGTGGTCTTGGGCAAAAAACTCAAGCTCACCAAGCCTAGTTGTCCCTATCCATAAAGTGCTGTCATAATCGTATCTTCTCGAATTGTTAAGATGATAAAAACTGGCTGTTATGAGATGCTGTAACTGACCCTCTTCTTTGGTGAGTGCTGTAAATGTTGATGTGAGCTCAGAATGTGATCAGACAAAATAAAAATAAGGTTTTACTCCATCTTTCAGCATTTTATCCAGTCTACACTTTCCATGGAGGAAAAAACTCCCTTTTATAAACGTGTGTCACTGTATTGTTAGTGACAGTGTTAGTACGCTGTATTTTTAGAAGCCAGTTGAGTGGAGGGGGGTACTGAAGCTTCCTGGCTGCCTTTGGGCCCTCTATAGCAGTGCCATGACCTCCATGCTGGTCTCATTGGGTCGTGGCCAGCAAATGTCTACCCCTGTACTGGGATCTCCCTTCTAGTCAGAGCCTACAGTTCTCTTCTGTTCAACTTTAAATTCTGCCTCCAAACTGCACTCTCCCCACTGCCCAGGGACTGCTCGAGAGCTGGCTTTGGAACAGTCGTCTTATGCTGGAGCTATTTCCTGGGACGCTTGCACACTATTCCCACAGCTGGCAACCTTACCGAATTCCTTTCCAACTTAACACCCTATTTTCTGTAGTATTCCAGTGTCACAAACATCTGCAGCATACAGAAGAGTCTCCAGTTGTTAAAGACAGGCTTGATTTACTATTCCTCTTCTGTTTTTCAGTCTGTCTGTTTGATTATCAGTGTTTGGCCATTTTTCCATTTAGCATCATCTGTCTAGGTTGTGGTCATCCTCACATCTCATGGCTCAGCTATTAAGAGCATAAGCCATTGAAACAGTTTAGTCAGCAGTGCATGGCTGGCTGTGTTTTGTAAATAGAAGACTTGGCTAATGGGCTTTTGAAATTTATGTTGACTTACTTTTTAATCTAGTCATTGTGCCGGCTAGCTTTATGTCAACTTGACACAAGTTACAGTCATCTGAGAGGAGGGAACCTCAGTTGAGAAAGTATCCCCAACAAATTGGCCTGTGGACAAGCCTTTGGTACATTTTATTGATTGGTGGTTGATGTTGGGGGGCCCAGCTCACTATGTGCCTCCCCTGGGCAGGTGGTTCCCAGTTGTATAAGAAAGCAGGCTGAACAAGTCATGGTAGGCAAGCCAGTAAGCAGTGCTCCTCCATGTTTTCTGCTTCGGTTCCTGCCTCCAGGTTCCTGCCTTGTATTTCTGCTCTGACTTTTCTTCATGGTGGACTGCAATTGGGACATGAAAGGTCCCTTTCTTCCTGAGTTGCTTTTGGTCATGGATTTGATCACAGCAATAGAAACCCAAAGTATGACAGTTATCTTGGGCTAGACAATGCTGTCCTTTGTCCTTAGGAGACTTTTATGCGTTGTCACATCCTAATCTTATGTCTGTTCCTAGCTGGGAGTTTGTCAGATTCACAGGGAGATGAGGCACATGAGTATAAAATCCAAATCTCATCATTACCTTTGGACTTGCTCTCGGTCTAGACCAGTCCTGGGCCACATCAGGAGATGTGGCAGCTGTCAAAAGGGCATCGGAGACACACGCATACCCACCTCCCACTCTGGAGAATCAGTGTCCTGCAGGTGTCCGTGGCAGTGGCTCTGTGGGTGTCTGAAGAGGTGGTTTCAGTTGTGCAGGCCACACACTCCACCAAACGGCAGCCTAAGTAATGAAAATGACTTGTGAGAATGAAAATTAAATAAAGGTACATTGTGACCGGTCACAATTTCTAAACGAATCTCCCGACTGATTGGGGCCTGACATTGCCAAAGCTGCTGCTATTACTGAACATGTGGGAAAAACAAGCCGAGACAAGCCGGTGGGGTTCTGGAATGCTTGCCGTAGAGTTGCCAGTTCTCTCCAGAGTTTGATGGGCGAGCGTAAGCTGCTCAGAAGCTGTGCCCTACCCTGTCGCCTAACAGCTGCTCTGTACTCAAGCCACACCAGTGCTCTGGTGTTTAACAAAACAGAGGGTCTTTTACCATGTGTAGTGGTGGGTTTTTCTGGCTCTTCTGACTATCTCTTGTAAGTCCTTAGCTGTGAGAAGTAGGGAAAGAATGTTTCCTTTAAATTTAGCAAAGAGCATCTCTGTGCATATGTGCTCTGCCACATCCACACTTCGGTGGTAATAGAAATACCATGGGAAAGCAAACCTCAAGCTTTCAGTGCCGTGGCCTGGGCTTCCTTCTCTCGTCCCTCCTGGGGAGATGGTTAGGAAGATGAGTGGCTTCTCCAGTCTGAGTAGATAGGCTTGCTCGCAGTGAAATGTCAGTTCTTTTCTAGGCTCACGATCACACTATAGTAAATGTGAATGTAAGCAATTGTGTGAGGGCTTTCTAAGCAGTGCTTCCATCTACAGTCATGTGCATTCTTTGATTTAGTAAATGCCAGGGAACGCTGATGAGGAGGCAGCACCATGTGCATGTTGTACACTACTCAGTGTGGAGTCCAGCAGGCTCACTCAGTGACCGGAGAGTCAAATAAATTCCATCTCCTGAACCCCACAGTGACTTTCCCCAGATTAAGAGAGCAGATGTCTTTAAAATGGGCATGAGATAAGAATTCCACAGCCAGCCGGGCGGTGGTGGCACACGCCTTTAATCCCAGCACTCAGGAGGCAGAGCCAGGCAGATCTCTGTGAGTTCCAGGTCAGCCTGGTCTCCAAAGCGAGTTCCAGGAAAGGCACAAAGCTACACAAAGAAACCCTATCTCGAAAAAGTCAAAACAAAAAACAAAAAAATCCACAGCCTTGCTATCACAGACTGGGCATGCCTAGGGAAGTTGGTGCCTTTGCCACTTGAATAGGCTCTTGTTTTAGGATGTTTTTCCTTCGTTGTCCTGGTATGAGTCAGGACCATATCAATTAAGACATACCCAACCAATTATCACAGGATTTATGTTTTTAAAAACATTTGATTATCAAGACATTGTCGTGGAAGAAAGATAATACAGAAATATAGAATGAGCGTAGAGAGCTGAGGAAGTCCTGAATGAATGTGTTGTGGATGTTAGCACAGTCATGTCAAGGACCTGATGCCTCAGAGCCTTGGGAGCAGGCAAAACCGTCCTTGGGGTCAGGCTCAGAGAAAGCCCTCCTCTGATCTGAGTTCAGATGTTGGCAGTGTGTGCAAAAACTAGCAACCACAGCTTCCTCCTCCCCAGTGACTGCGGCCTAAGACTGGTCACCCCTGGAGACCTCGAAGACCAGCTAACTCCTCCCACTGTGTTGTGCATAACAGCGCAATGAGGCTACAAGTTACTGGTGATTGGTGCTGCTCCAGCAGAGCCCCGCCCACCTGATCCCAGCTGTCCCTGTCTGTGCATCTGTCTTTCCTTCACTTCCTCATCGCCCCCCTACCTCCCCCCCAGATTTCCAGGACCAAGCAATACCGGACACAGCTGGGGGATTCTGGTCACCTGGGCTCAAATCCCGACTCTAGTTCTTAAGTGGTACCAGGTTAGTCACTCACTCAACCTCTCCATGCCTCAGCCTCCTCTTCTGGAAACAGGAAAACCAAGACCTCCCCTACAAGCTTGGTAAGAGTCAATGCATATAAAAACAATCCATACTTAACATGAAATAAATGCCAACTTGTGGAATTTTTATATTTTAGGCATTAAGAAAATATTTTTACAACTGAAATATCAAAAGAGGTAGAGGCTCTGAGGAAATCTTTGGCTTTAAAAGGTGAATTCCAATATAGAATGTGGCCCATCTGACAATTAGATGCCATGAGATTAGGATGCTCCTGTTCAAACATCTGCACCTCTGCTTTGCCTGGGGAAGATGCTTAAAAGTACCAAGAGTTTTGATGTGTGTGTGTGAGCGTGTATGTGTGAGCGTGTGTGTGTGTGTGTGTGAGCGTGTGTGTGGTTTTTTATTATAATAAATTAAATCCTCATTCCTTTCTTCCTGTCTCTGTCAGTGTGTTGCTTTCTCTTATGCTATGGTCTGTAAATGTATTTCTCTTCCTAATTTGGCTGTTTTTAGATCGAGCTGTGAATTCTTTATTCTCTCACATAGACATATGACAGTGGGGGAGGAGAGCATGCATATTTCCTAAATTTTCACACAAGAAATCTGTCTTGCTGTCTCCAAAGAGCGGAAATTTAGCAAGGAGCATCCAGTAGCCTCTGCTCGCTTCGAACTGTGTTCAGTAGCATGTTCAATATGCCACAGGCACCAACCAGACATTTGTCACCAGCACGGTGAAGGCTTCAGAGGTGCAGGATGGGATGGACTTGTATGTGCAGAGGGAATTCCACATCCCTGGGTAACTTTGGGCGCCATCTTTGTTGATACCTCACCCACATTCACTGCATTTTTGTCATGCAGGCTTCTGGAAGCCTTTGTCCAGAGCATGGCTAGAAGCCCCTAGGAACTGTATTTCCACAGGCAGCCCTAACCAGCCATTGCCAAGGAGGTGAGTATGAATCCAGCTCCCTTGCTGTGGGGCTACAGCATTCTGGGACATGCACTTTGACGTTGCCCAGAGTTCCCTCTGTGCTCCAGCAGCAGCCTTCACTGTGTAGCTGATGTCATGAGATCCCCTTACTGCCGAGCCACCTCCTGTCCCTGTCTGTCTTCTCAGTTCCCCAGCACCTTCCACATCTCAACCAGCCACTCACTTCCAAGTGCTTGGTTCTAGGTCTCTTTGGGGGCTTCCAACCCAAGATGGTTTGGACACTTTCTAAAGCACAAGTCTAAATTTAGTTTTGCCAAAACCACTGTGCACCCTGAGTTGACAAGACACATTTTGGCAAACAGCTGGGCAAGCATTTGGAGCTAAGCTCATGGTGAATGCCTACCTATTAGAACGTAGGTAGAATTAGAATAGCGTGAACTAGGGCCATGGCCACGCCTTCCCTTCCTGATTCATCCTCCTGCAATACAGGACAGCCAGTTTGTGTTAGAGGCTGGAGAGGATAGGAGCTCAGCAAGAACGCTGAGCACACTGTGAGTGTGCTTCTGAGCATGCTCCGACCTGCTTTGTCTCTTCTGGGGGCGGGGCAGGTGGGCAGTTGGTTGGTTTGGTTTGGTTTCTTGAGACAGGGACTCACTCTGTAGTCCAGATTGGTCTGGAAGTCATTGTATAGCTCAGGCAAATCTCAAACTCATAGGCATTCTCCTCCTTCAAGCCACCTGAGTGCTGGGATTACAAGTGTGAGCCACCTCTTCTGTTTACAGGCCTAGCAGACAAAAGCTTCGTGGTTTTCTAGTACCAACCTGAGTAAGCCAGCCACCATTCCAGTCTAAGAAAACACTTGCCCTATCGCATTTCCCACTAATGGGTAAATTAAGTTTTACCTTAAGAAAATAAGGGTGCTCCTTGCAGCCTCTTCCACCACACCAGCCTGTCCCCGAGACCCAGATGACACGTCCAGCGAGGCCACTGTCCTTTCTGTGTCTCCTTCTTCCTCCATGTTATCGCCTTCGATGCTCTAGCACACAGAACACCATTGGAAGCTATGCGGCTCTGTATCAGAGCAGATTAGCTTCAGGGAAAAATGCAATCGGGGTAGAAGATGATACATATGATTCCACACAAGTGGTGTCCTTCTACTTCACTCCTTGGCAATTCCTCAAGAGTGGCTTGTTTTTGTTTCTGAAACACACACAGTCTGTGGGCTGCAGAGCAGTTTGTGCCCAGCAACCAGAACTCAGACAAAGAAGCCATGGCAGTGTTCTTATTTACAGAGGTTGCCGTCTGAGAAATTAATGTCTGCTGTTGCTTAGTAATTAGGAAAATTTAGGGCCCTCGTGCTCCAACGTCTTGCATTGAAGGTTGTGTGTTATCTGTGTTTTCATGAGAATTTGTTGGATTTCTGTCATTAATAACAGGCATAAATGCAGCAAGCAGCAGGACATGCGTTACATTTAATCAATTTGCCATTTGTATTCATTATGCATGTCCTCCATTTTGAGTCATGAAAAATTGAAAGGCCGTTGCAAATAGAAAGAGCATCATGGATTACAAATGATGTAACAAGAGCAGAAGTACTATTAATTGGTCAATTGTGCTTGTCAGCCCATTTAAGGTGATTAAGGCAGAAGGATTAGAGAGGACATGAATGTGCTTGGGAACAGGAGCCTGAGAACGCTGGGGACCCTTCCAGTCCTCAGTGCCCAGAAGAATGCAGCAAAACCAAGTGGTGGTTATTCCAATCTCATTCAACAAATAATGGATGAGCACCTTCCATGTGCCTTAGACTATGGTGAACACAGCAGAAAACAATGTAAATGCAGCCTGTGACCGCAGGATGACATTCCAGTGTGTACAGAGCAGATGGGTGTACAGGGGGATCCCATAGTGTAAGTCACAAAACCCAGCAGGAGGCCAGGTGCCAAGTGATGCGCTTGGGAGGAGGTGTCTGGGAAGTGACATCTGAAGGGAGGTTAAGATGAAGATCCGGGATGAGAAGGTTTGGGTCCAGCACCCCAGTCTCCTTCCACCATGTGGGATGGCTTTCTCGAGATTTCAGATTTCACAGTGGTGAGGAAGGGAAGCACGATGTAGAAAGTACTTTGGGTTTAATATTTTCTTAGGCTTGTGTACAGCCCCACCCTCCCTCATGATGCTGGGCAGTAGCAGTGGCCCACAGTGTGGTCAGCCACATAACCACAAGGGCACATGGATGTTCCTAGTGTTTTGGATTTAAGCTTTTAATAAATCTCATGGGATAGACAACACTTTTCTAAAAGTAGGTTTTGTGTGGGAGAACTCTCCCCAGCATTGAGCTCATGAAGTTCTCTGAGCATAGGTAAGATAGGACCCAGGTTGAGTACACTAAAGGCGTTCTTGGGATAATCTTCACCTACTCTGTTTTATTGAGATGTAACCCCATCATAAACTAACATATGAGGTTTTGGTTTGGTTTTGTTTACTTATGGGATTAGGTGAAACACAACCCAATGAACGGCTTCCCAAGACAGGAAAACTCACCCTTCCAGTTTTCTTGTGTGGACCCTTGTGTGGTAGCAATTTGGTTCAAGTAAACAGATGGTGCATTTACCACTGTAACCAAGTACTTCCACACTCAACCAGGGCATGCCGATGAGAGCAGACTGGCTCTGGCTTCTCGGTTATACAACCCTCTCCCCAACCTTTGGGTTGTCCCCTCATCAGGCTTGCCTTGGCCCTGCCCCTGCACATCTGCTGTCTGGGGTCCTTAGAATCCTGGTCCTCCGTGCCCCAGCCACTTCCTCAGGGAGCCCTTGCCACCAGGGCCCCATGCCCAGGGCCTCAGCAGACTTCGCTCTGCTCTGCTTAACCACATCTATTACAGCCTGAGTTAGATGCTGTCTGCTAACCCACTTCTCAGCATCTTCCACTCTGCAATCTCAGTGCCATGAACCCCAGTGTATGTTCCTCAAGTTCAGTGTTGTGTCCACACCCTACAACAGTGCCTGCGCCATGGTGAGCCTCGAGAAGCTGGCATGAATGAATGAATGACCATGTCAAAAAGAAGGAATGGACTGCTGGGTTTATGCCTTTTGTGCAGAGAGCTATTTAAATGTTTCCCTGAGACCCACATGGAAGAAACAGATGTTTATTCTGACTAGCGTTCTGTGTGGACCAGGTGGCATCACAATACAGTTTATTAGCACACATTTCTAACCCCAATGCTATGCCTTCTCAACATACTGATTTGCTCCTACTGACTAAAGTGCTGTGGCACTGTCTTTACGAGACAGACCCAGGTGAAGCACGGTGATTGAGTACCACAGCAACCCTGCTGTATAGGATAGACAGTCTAGGTCTCCTGGGCAGTTCGGCGGAAGGAGGTGGTATGGTGTGATGGTCCAGAATCCCAAGCACTTTGCAGGTGTATTCTGCATATGACTCACAGTGGACTTGTGAGGCTGTCTTATGCCTGGCTCCATGGCAGGTGCTGGAGATGCCAGATGGAAGAGGGCATGGTGCTCAGCTGCTGGCAAGAGCTGATCATCATTGGAAGTTGTTCCTGCACCCCCCCCCCCCAGACATTAGCATCATTGGAACCAAGGCCTACCTCAGGCCAACTGAGTTGAGTCAAGGTCTCTGGGACAGGTGTTTCACAACTGTCCAGACGTTTTGAGCTCTAAACTCTGCTCTTAGGCAACCAGGTTGAGGCCCACAGGTCTGTCAGAAGAATGGCTTCATAAAGACAAAAACCAAAAAGCAGCAGAAGGGAGACCATAGTGGATGGCAGGTGTGAGTCAGGCAATGGTGACATTTCTCCTTAGTGTGTAACTACACACAGAAAGCAAGGTTTCTAGTGCTCCAAGACTGCTGTGCAGCAGATAAATGTTGCCCTTGCCCATCACCCACCCCCAAAGAACTGATTTTAAAATTGCACAAAGCATTCATTAAACAATTATTTTCCCTCTATAGGCCAAATTAGTGATCATGGTTTTCCTATATGCCAAGTATTGAACGTTGAACACTTAATCAAATAAAGAATTTTTATTAAGACATAGCCTCTCCTAATTAGGGAAGCAAGTGGTCCAGTGTGGCCATCAAAGAGAAGGGGTCAGCTTGCACTTGGAAGCTGTTTTGAAAGCACAGGACATCTGAATGTCAGAGTTCTCTGAAACTCTCCACTTAGACTGTCTGCACCTTGGAGAAGTTTAGACCTGGGGTGAGGTGCATTTTTCTGGGTAATAACTGAATTTATGTTATTCAGTTGACAGTGAATTGGTTGGCCCACCAAACAAGGGCCACTAGAAGACTTTCTCAGTACAGGTAGCTCCTGAGGAAGACCTGCCAGTTGGTGGCTCTCAAGGCAACACCCTTCCCTACAAAGTACAGTTCTGCATGTACAGCTGTCTGTATGCTGCAGTCACCCATGAGTTTGACATGCCTGTGCCTAAGATGCTTGGGCAGAAAGTGAGTTGAGGATGGCGCTGAGCACAGGTATGTTTTTGGAAGAACTCTGCACTGAGTCTCATGTGGAACCAGGCTGGCAAGTGCTGGTATATTCAGGTGAGTGACTGAAATAGATCAGAGAGAAGTCACCCTGGTGGCACATACCCCAAGCTACGGGTCTCCACACTTCCCAACATCAGCAAGGGCAAGGACTCCAAAGGGGGCTTCAGTGGAAAAGATGAACACAAGTCCAGGCAAACACCCAGTCCCTTTGTTGACTTCTTGATTCCGGGCCCTGCAGAAAAGGCACAGAACAGGACCAAGTAGCCAGCAGGTACAGACTTCACACTTCTACACACACTTGGCTCTCTGGCCCCTCCTAGAGAAGCCGCTTGGAGATGAATGCTTGAGAGTCAGAAACTAAGCCAGAGTGGGCCTGTGCAGTTGGACCTCGAGTGCACCTGGAGGGGAGCTTGAGAGTTCAAGGCAGCGCATGCTGGGGTATGGGTTTCACTGCCAAGTTCCATGAAATCTTCTGTTTGTCCCCAAACCACTTGTGTGGTGTCACACCTCCA